CATTCTACTAGTCTAATTTAATATTAAGTTAATTACAGGGCTCTCACATTCACAATGGTTATCTAAGTTAAACAATATACAATTTAGCAAAATGGCTGTATTATTTACAATTTCATTAAAACGTCAGTGTTTTTTGTTATCCTGTGGAGCCGGACTAGCCTGTATCCTAGCATTTTTATCAACTATATAATCATTAAGTTTGTAATACGCTTGTCTACATAAAGTTTTCTTTATAAATAATTTAAATTTTGATTCATTTAGGTGTTGTATGTCGCCTGGTATCTTATTATAACATTTAATACAGAATCCCATGAACGACTTACTTACTTTCGCCAATCTCGAAATTCGCTGACTTAATCTATTTCCATGTCTAGTTTGATAGTGGTGTCTGTCCGACACTTTACCAAATAACTGTAGGTTTTTCCTATATAAGGTATTATATTAATACACGTAATGATGTTATGTTTTGACTATACATACATCCTCAATAATTATTTTATCACTAGCTTTTGCCCGCGGCTTCGCTCGCGTCACAAATGGATAAAAAGTAGACATATGCCAATACACACAGCTCCATACCACCATATCTATACGAATACTTTTGTTTTCCTTCGAGAATATTAATTTTTAATCCGGACTTCGAACTTTACCTCTGCAAAAATTCAAAGCAATCGGTTTAGTATATAGGGAGGCCTATGTTCAGCAGTGGACGTCCTGTGGCTGATATGATGATGATGATGATGGTTTAGTAGTTACTGGGTGAAAGTGGAACAAACAAACAAACAAACTCACTTTCCGATTTATAATATTAGTAAGGATTCGCCCGTCATCCTTTTAAAAGGAAAAAGATTATATTAATACACGTAATGATGTTATGTTTTGACAATATCTATTTGTTGATAATAATTCTTTGATATCTTTTTGTCCATCCAAAGGTGACACACACACAAACTGATAATGTTATTAAATGAATATTTGTCCATCTTCGTATCATATTTTAAAATCGATAGTTTTGGTATACTGTCTTGTTGGCCGAGTGGTCGCAAGTGCGAATACCAGGCAAGGGTACTTAACGGGTTGCCGGGGCTTCGGCTTGAAGTGCAGGAGTAGGAACGGGGTGGTTTTTAGTCAGTATATGTCTGACACTCCCTCTCGCCTCTCCCTGGCGGAAGAAGTCATTCGATGATTTAGTCCCTTAAAAAAAAGGTGTAACAAGGGACATTTACAGTTTAATATATTGGCCCAATATAATGGCCCAATACGTTGGACCAAAGTGTAGAGCCGTCTTTGTGTTTGACACTCCCTCTCGCCTCACCCAGAGCGGGAGACGTCATTGAATGATTTGCATCCCTCGAAAAAGGTCTTGGTAATATTATAGGTACCTATTCTGTAGCAACATCATTTCTAAGAATGTTTTTTTTAAGCGGGGAAAATCATCGAATGTCTGCTCCCGCCTGGGTGAGGCGGGAGGGAGTGTGAGACTCTTACTGACTAAAAACCACCCCGTTCCTTCTCCTGCACGTCGAGCCGGAGCCCCGGTAACCCGTTAGGTTCTCCGCGACATCATTCCTAAAAATAAACCTATCACATCAAACGCAAAAAACATTTTATCAACAGGTAAAGTGTACTGTATTTTGAAATAATTAATAAACAATGTAATATCTATAGGCATTAATCCTAATCTCAGCTTTAATTTATCAAATTAATATTTTATAGATTGAAGCGTTTGATTGCTGTTTTGAACGGAACTACTGCGATTTTGGTTTACGTTAGAAGTATGTAAAAGTCAAAGCATTTATTTCAATTACAACCATATTTTGGTACTTTTGAAACGTCAACTGACTGATGATGACTGCCTCGTTGACCGAGTGGTCGCAAGTGCGACTGCCAGGCAAGGTGTCTCGGGTTCGATTCCTGGGTCGGGCAAAGTATTACTGGGTTTTTAAAAATCTCAGTAGTAGCACGGAGTCTGGAATTGTGCCCGGTATATGGCAATAGGCTCACCCCCTATTACATGGGACTCGTAACATAAATAGTGAAAAGTGGGTGTTAGTCAAAGTCAAAGTCAAAATCATTTATTTCAATTAGACCAGAAAGGCACTTTTGAACGTCAATAATAAAATTAGAAGTGAAGCTATTTGTACATTGTACAGTGGTATAATGTGCACCTCTGCCTACACCTTCGGGGATAAAAGGCGTGATGTTATGTGTGTGTGAAACGTCAACAAATACAAAATAAAAACTTGCCTGTCAGGTACATAGTTCGTCAATGAAGCTAGGTAAAGCTAGGTGCTCATTTCAAAATGTAGAATCGAATGGAGAAGAACTCCATTCGTTACTCTTTTTAAAAAAGTATGTTCTATGATGTATCTGATACAATGTATCTGAGAACAATGCAAAGACACGCTTGACGCATACAAATTACAAAAGTTACTGAACAAAAAACAAGACGAGAATGAAAAAAAAAAAGTCAAACAAAGTCCCTGAATGTAACAATCCTCAAATTCCTAATCCCAAAAGGCCGGTACCGCACTTGTAACGCCTCTGGTGTTCCAGGTGTCCATGGGCGACGCCGATTGCTTACCATCAGGTGATCCGTCTGCTCGTTTACAAGTGCGTTGCCGGCCTTTTAGGGAGCGAGTGGGAGATGGATTGGACCTCCATCCAAAATAGGTGTATTAAAAGTAAACTTTAAAAAGTATATTATCTATGACAAACACACATTCATAAATCCGTAGCCGAAAATTAGTAATTTTATGACTCAAAAAAAAAATCGCAGCTCTTCTTATCGTGTTTCCAAAAAATACTTCTACCTATATAGATTGTCAGACAGATAAACATAATGTGGTTTATGTGTAGATAATCATCCGTACGAATATTATTAATGCGAATGTATGTGTCTGTTTATTTGTCCGTCTTTCATTGCAAAACGGAGCGACGATATGAGGTGATATTTTAAGTGGAGATAGTGGAAGGGATGAAGAGTGACATAGGCTATTTTTATCTCTGTCTAGCCCCCCACTTTCCTGAAATGGAAGGTGAAAGTTTGTATGGAATATTTTGTAATTTTCAGATGTGGATTATTTTTGACTGATAAAAATTAGGGTGGTATTTAATAATCTAACTGTAAATTCCCGTTATTCAATCAAAATATCCGAAATTACCACCAAAAATACTGAATTGCACACTAAATTCGCTCATCAAATAAACCAATTATACAGAATACTATCTAATAATTCATAACCTAACCTATTTTGGAAATTCCGTTGTAATATTGAACAATATTTGTGTGCAAATCAGTATTTTTGTTTTATGATGTTATATGTTTTTGTAATATGTAGTTAATTTGTAGTACTTACAGTAATTTTTTTTATATGCAGTATGTTATTAGTGGAGTGGTTTGCTTAAATTTCTAAATAGAGGTGCAGTAAAAAATTCCCCAAAAAATAATGCATCGTTTTTTGTATTATATTATAACTTTCGTGGGGCACACTAAATTCATTAAATTATGTTTTTCGGCTTATTTTTTGGGAAATCTGACCATCATCTGATTTTTGGGAAAGAGACAAAGAGTGCGAGCGAAACCGCAGGCAAAAGCTATAATATACTTCGAGTATATATGTGTAGATAATCATAGAAACCTAAATATTTTTATCAGTGTGTTAGACGAACGAGGACGAGATTTTAAATTGTTTTTTTCTGTGTAAAATAATAAAAAAAAATTCAACATGAGTGGCATTCAGGTTAGTAGTTATTTTTGCAAGCTTGTATTTAACTTGCAATATGTGTGTGTGTGTGTGTGTGTATGTGAAGTGAAATCTTGCAACTGAATTTTGAAGCAGATATGTTCAACCGATTGAGCTGAAATTTTATATATGTCGTAGAATAATTTGATACTTCGAATCTTCGCGGAAATCCTAGGGGTTTTGCAAAAACGCGGATAATTAGACATAGGCGAAAAATTATCAAATCTTACTGGATAAAGTCAGGATTTTTGCGAAAATACTCATTACTATAGTAAGATTGCGAAACGAAACGCTGGCTGTTATGAAATAAGAACGCTGATTGGTCGGTCAGCGCGTTCAATAAGAGATCGTCTCTGATTGGTTGACGTCTTAAATGTTTTTTCGTCGTCTTAAACGACCAGTTTCATCCAATTTATGGATTACACCCTAAAATTGGATTATTTTTTTTACAACGACTGAGATCTCCTAATGTCTATAGAAAACAACATACATACTAAAATTTTCAATAAAAAGTTTATAAAAGTCAATTTAGTGATTTTCCTTTCTCACCTATTCTAAACCTTCATAATTCTATGATACAATACTTGAAGTTAATCATCGGCTAACTAGGAACCAATTAGAAGTCAGCCAGCAAAATTGTAGCCAATCAGTGTTGAGCACATCAAATCTTACTATAGTAACGAGTATTTTCGTAAAAATCCTGACTTTGTCCAGTAAGATTTGATAAATTTTCGCCTATGTCTAATTATCCGCGTTTTCGCAAAACCCCTAGGATTTCCGCGAAGATTCGAAGTATCAAATTATTCTACGGCATATACACGTCTAGTTTGCATGACCATAAATGCTGACCTAAAAGTTTATTTTTTAAATATTTTATTTTTATTATTATCTTTCAATTTTATTTTATACACCATGTAATATATTTCGTTTTCGTCCCGAAGTAAATGCTACTGTCTTGGTAATCTATACTAATATTATAAAGCTGAAGAGTTTGTTTTTTATATGTTTGTTTGAACGCACTAATCTCCGAAACTACTGGTCCGATTTGGAAAATTCTTTCTGTGTTGGATAGCCCATTTATCGAGGTAGGCTATAGGTTATAAAATATCACGCTACAATTAAAAGGGGTCGAACAGTGCGAGTGAAACCGCGCGGAAGTAGCTAGTTAATTAATAAGAACTGTGATTGTAATTTTTCATTAAAAAAACACTTTACAGATTGTTGACGGCGACAACGGTGGAATCAACGTTGTAGACGGTGACGGTGGCGTTCAATTTGCTGACAACAGTGGTGGTGTGCAGTTTGCTGACAATAGCGGCGGGGTCCAGTTTGCTGGCGGTGACGGTAGCGGGGTCCAGTTCGCCGGCGATGACGGTAGCGGGGTCCAATTTGCTGGCGATGACGGTAGCGGGGTCCAGTTCGCTGGCGATGACGGTAGCGGGGTCCAGTTCGCGGGCGATGACGGTAGCGGGGTCAACATAGTCGGTTGAATAAATTTAGATTTAGTAAGTATTTACTTTGTTTGTTTTCTATAATTCATGGTATTGAATAGATGTCTGTATTCAACTGTGGATGGAAACTGGCTAATGAGTTCAAGGACGTTGAAAAAAGGTGAACATAATGACACTTAATATTAGTGGTGTATTTATGTGTGCGCGTGTTATGTCGCGGAGAACCTAACGGGTTACCGGGGCTCCGGCTCGAAGTGCAGTAGAAGGAACGAGGTGGTTTTCAGTCAGTAAGAGGCTGACACTCATTCAGCAGTCATTTGATGATATTCCCCCCTTAAAAAAAAGATTTAAGATAATGACAGATATCCTTCGTGTCAATATATTTATATTCTGCGTATATTAACTCTATAACAGTCAGTGTAACTGTAATAGTGGTTGATCCAAGAGACTACGTTTGCCTTTCTTCAAAATCCTTTATGTAAGTATGTATGTATGATATGATATGTATGTTTTTATGTGATGTATGTATGATATGATATGATATTTTAGTTTAGTATAGTGAACTCATCTAATTCTGTGACTCGCCTAATAATTCGGTTTAGTAAATTTGGTAGAACTATTAGGTTTCTAGAAAAAAATCTGATTATTTGTGCTAATATTCCTCATAAAAGACTGATTAAAACTCATGCGGAGACTGAATTAAATTAATTAATAATTTATTGGTATTTTATTACTCAAATGCCTTTGTCACGAAGTTAGATGAGTTCACCCTAGATAGGTTATAAACAGTATGACCAGACTTTAATGTAATGTTTTTTTTATTGTAATCCTAAGTTCTTATTCAGTAGTTCAAAATTTTTCAACTATTGCATGAAGTTTTTACACTGTTCATCAAATATTTGTACTTATAAAGTAACTGGTTCAACATTATTAATTTGTATTATTTTCTTTGTTACAGGTACAGAATCTATTAGGATAATTACTTCATAATTTATTATCTATACTGATAAATTTTAATACATAAGTATCAATAAATTTCCTGATACACACTATCTGTTTATTATTCTATCCTCGATATACGGTGGCTAGCGGGCTAACCTTTCTGTGAAATTTTTCTATTACTTCCTCAACTTTATTGCATTGATGACATGAATGGCACGGCATATTTTCGGCACCAATGGGCCGGCTCGACCGGAGTGATACCACGGCCGAGCAGAACACCGACGTGAAGCAACGCTTGCGTTGTGTTTCGTAGTGTGAGTGAGGTTACCGGAGGCCCAATTACCCACTTCCCCAATTTTCCGAATCCCCGAATCCTTCACAATCCTCAAATTCCCAATTTCCAAAAGGCCGGTATAGCACTTGTAACGCCTCTGGTGTTTCAGGTGTCCATGGGCGACGCCGATTGCTTACCATCAGGTGATCCGTCTGCTCGTTTACCGGCTAATGCAATCAAAAAAAAATTTAGTTAATTTAGTATTACTCACGATAGTTATCATAAAAACAAGTCATAGTTTTATCAATGACTTGTTTTAGAGTGAATTTATAAATTCACTCTAAAGCAGCCTACCTACATTTAATTTTTAAATTTTATGTTTAAATAAGCCAATCCGCGTTGAGCAAGCGTGGTGATCAATGTTAATTCCTTCTCCGTGTGAGAAGATGCCTTTGTTTATTAGTGGGCACTTATGGCCTGTTGATGTTGACGAAAATTGACATGAAGCAGCAGTTGTACAAAAATAATTTGTATTCTCGTCAGACTCTCAAAAGTAATATCATGAGACATGCTGAAGTCCAATAGTGAAGAAGTGGATCCAATCTGCTGGCGATGACGGTAGCGGGGTCCAGTTCGCTGGCGATGACGGTAGCGGGGTACAGTTCGCGGGCGATGACGGTAGCGGGGTACAGTTCGCGGGCGATGACGGTAGCGGGGTACAGTTCGCTGGCGATGACGGTAGCGGGGTACAGTTCGCGGGCGATGACGGTAGCGGGGTCAACATAGTCGGTTGAATAAATTTATATTTAGTAAGTATTTTTTACATAACACAATATAACATCACGCCTTTTATCCTCGAAGGGGTAGGCAGAGGTGTACATTATGCCACTGTATAATGTAACACTGTTCACTATTTATGTTATGAGTCCCATGTAATAGGGGGTGACCCTATTGCCATATACCGTGCACAATTCCAGACTCCGTGTTACTACTGAGATTTTTTTTAAAACCCACTAATACTATGCCCGGCGGTCGCATTTGCAACCACTCGGCGGTGCCCGAGTCAGTCAAATTATGAGTTACTCACGTAAATATACTGAGAAAAGCTCTCCTACAGGGTGTCGCGGAGAACCTAACGGTCGCGGAGAACCTAACGGGTAACCGGGGCTCCGGCTCGACGTGCAGGAGAAGGAACGGGGTGGTTTTAGTCAGTAAGAGTCTGACACTCCCTTCCGCCTCACCCAGGCGGGAGCAGTCATTCGATGATTTTCCCCCCTTAAAAAAAAACTGGTACAGGGTACAGTAAACTGTGCGACATCGCCGCGACTGCGCACGCTGCTCATGAGGTGTCCTTTAGTGACTTACAACTATAGTCGAGTATTTCTCGTAATTTTTTGTTGACTCAAAATAACAAAAAAGTCACAGCATTTCTTATCGTATTTCCAAAAACTCTCGCATTAAGATTGTGAGACAGATAAAAGTAATGTGTTTTAAGTAGATAAATCAAACAAGTCAAGGTATTTTAGCGTAGCTTGTCGACCGAACGAGGACAGAGCCGTCGAATTTATTGTAAGATACAAAGAAAATATCAACAACATGAGTGGCGTTCAGGTTAGTGGATATGATTAATTTTTTTTTTGACATAAGCTGGTAAACGAGCAGACGGATCACCTGATGTAAGCAATCAGCGTCGCCCATGGACACCTGGAACACCAGAGGCGTTACAAGTGCTTTACCGGCCTTTTGGAATTAGAAATTTGAGGGTTATGGGGGATTCGGTGATTGGGGAGACTGGAGAAGGGTGTAATTGGGCCTCCAGTAACCTCACTCACACGACGAAACACAACGCGAGCGTTGCTTCACGTCGCTTTTCTATGAGGCCGTGGTATCACTCCGGTTGGGCCGGCCCATTCGTGCCGAAGCATGGCTCTCCAACACTGATAATAATTATTTATTTAAGTGAAACAACGCTTGCGTTGTGTTTCGTCGTGTGAGTGAGGTTACTGGAGGCCCAATTACCCTCCTCTTCCCCAATCTCACCAATCCCTGAATCCCCAACGATCCTCAAACTCCTAATCCCCAAAAGGCCGGTACGTAACGGACTTGTAACGCCTTTGGTGTTCCAAGTGTCCATGGACGACGCCGGTTGCTTACCAATTACCATCAGGTGATCCGTCTGCTCGTTTACCGGCTTATGCCATAAAAAAAATAGTTGTCTTTTCTTGTTTGTTCGATTGCATGATTGGAAAAGTAACATATTAAGGTAAAAATCTTTAAATAAAAATGAGACAAAGGCTTGTAAAAAAAACAAACCGGGCAAAACAACGTTATTTTAATGTAATGATTTTTATCTTTATTATCTTTTAAAAAATGTCGCCCTACGCTATCTCTTGTGTCGTGGGTGCGTTTACAAACATACAAGTTCACATACACGTCACACACAGACACGGAACAACAATCTGTGAATCAGACAAGGAAATTATTGTTTTGAGCATAAATTGAAACACACTTCCTCAACTATACAGTCAATTTTAATTCCTAAAGAAAAGACTTAAATATTTAAACAAGAAATTCATATTTTAATGAACTCTATTCTACCAATCAAACCTTTCGTTTCATACCAACTAAGCCTTTAGGTACGTTTGATATCCATAGTGATGGTAGTTGTGGAAATAATTAGATAATATTGTATGGTCATCAATATTAAGAGTGTGTACCAAATATCAGATCGATTTGTCGTCAGGAAGGGGGTGGAATTACAATTACTAAAGACGCAAATTACGTACGACGTATTTACAATAAGTACAGGATTATCCATTTAAAATAGCAACTAAAATCCACTAAGGTTTAAACTTGTGCTGTCATGAATCAATCTCGAAATCGATTTTTTATAAAATGAGGTTTTACAAATATATATACGTTAATGACGCTGACAATATAAACAAACATATTCCTAAATAATATTTATGTAATATTGCTTTAGTTTACATTTTATATATGTTCTTTTGAGTAATATTATTTTTTATTTCTGAGGGTAAACTATTAATAAGTCTGGGTACAATGTAAGCGGCAGTTCGTTCGCCATAGGTGTTGTTGGCGCGCTGAGTATGAAGCCTATTCTCAGAAATTGACCGAGTGCATACAGGATGTTCGATTTTGTTTCTCTTAATATTAAAAACTTGAATTGTAATAAACGGGGCAAGGTAAATAAAACCGATTAACTAATTATATATTTCTTTTTTCTTTTTTTCTAGATTGTTGACGGCGACAACAGCGGAGTCAACGTGGTTGACGGCAACGGCGGCGTCCAATTTGCTGACAACAGCGGTGGCGGGGTCAACGTTGTTGATGGAGCCGTGATGTTTGGGGGCGGTGTCAATATTGTTGACAACGGGGGCGGTGTCAACGTTGTTGACGGCGCCGTTATGTTTGGGGGCGGTGTCAATGTTGTTGACAACGATGACGGTAGTGGGGTCAACATTGTCGGTTGAAGAAATTAGGTTTAGTAAGTATTTTTCTAACAATAACTTTTTCTTCTCCTCTTATAATATCTTCTGATTCACTTCGTTGCGGGAACCAAGACAGTTATTCATGTCCCTGGGACGCGCCGGACTTCAGTGTCACGGTGTTTTCATGGTTGTATCTACTGTAGATCCTGGCTTACAGGAGTTGCAGCGGTTTTGAGAGGTTGTGACCTGCTTGTCCCAAAAAAAATGGCTTCTCATTTATTTCGTTATGGGATCGAAGACAGTTATTGATGTCACTGGGACGCGACGGACTTCAAGTTCTTTTGTTTATGGAATAGGAGGCAAACCAGCTGACGGATCACCTGATGGTAAGCGATCAGCGCCGTCAATAGACACTCGCAATACCAGAGGAGTCACAGGTGCGTTGCCGGCCTTTTAAAAAGGAATACGCTCTTTTCTTGAAGGTTTGAAGGTCGTATCGGTTCGGAAATACCGCTACTACTTCATCTTTATTGTTTTGTTTTTGTTTATACATCAAATGTACGACTCCTTATTGCAAGTGGTTTTGCCGCGTGACGAAAACGAAATAGATAACATAACATAACATAACATCACGCCTTTTATCCCGAAGGGGTACGCAGAGGTGCTACGAAATAGATTAAATTTTTTGTTTATTTATTTATCTTTATATCACACAGGTAAGTATCTTATAATCTAAGCCCCACAAAACCGTTGCAATGGTTTGACTGCGGGGTCGAGTCGCTAGATATTACAATTCAATGTACTTATATTTAAATGTTATACAGGCGTTGAAACTTATACTTATTATTAGGAAATTTCTAAATAATATGACTTCAATTTTAAAGATGTCACGGTGTAATATGTTATATAATTCTGCCACGTAATTATCACATGATAAGGTGACGGATCATAATTAGTTATTGTATTATCAAACAAAACAGGTAAATTCATTGAAATTAATTATAAAAGATAAAGATAAGTACCTATAAGAATTATTGTGAATAAGTTGTAGATTAAAAACTATATTCAGACATCACGGTATTTCATTATTTTGGTCGTAGACACTAGATACAGAGGCCAGCACATCGGTGTATTCCATAATATAACATCACGCCTTTTATTCCCGAAGGAGTGCAGAGGTGCACTTAATGCAACTGTACAATGTAACACCCACTTTTCAGTATCTATGTTATGAGTCCCATTTAATAGTCGATGTATTCCATAACATAACATCACGCCTTTTATCCCCGAAGGGGTAGGCAGAGGTGCACATTATGCCACTGTACAATGTAACACCCATTTTCCACTATTTGTGATATGAGTCCCATGTAATAGAGGGTGAGCCTATTGCCATATACCGGGCACAATTCCAAACTACGTGCTAGTACTGAGATTTTTTTTAAAACTCAGTCATACTTTGCCAGACCCGGGAATCGAACCTGAGATTTATATTATGATGTTATGCTTTAATTTGTATTATTTTCTTTGTTACAGGTACAGAATCTATTAGGATAATTACTTCATATTTTTTATTATCTACTGATTAATTTTAATACCTACCTACATATATTTAAATATAACGTAAATAAATCTCTTGACAAACACTCTCTGTTTATTTCCTTTTTACTTCTTTCTTACATAATACAAACATTTATCACCACCGCTACTCTTCCCGCGGGTATCGTATACCCGACTAAGGGACTTTACATTAGACAGAGACCGTGAAGCAGCGCTCTCTGATATACCTGAACCTACTGTTCCCGCGGGTGTCGTATACCCGACTAAGGGACTATACATTAGACAGAGACTGTGAAGCAGCGCTCTCTGATATACCTGAACCTTTTACATTGCGATCCCCAACCTGTCTGTAAGAGATTTCGGTCAACCCTCATAATTATACAGAGAGTAAAACATGGACCGCTACCAAAACGCACACGATTACAACTGTTATTACTTAAAAGATCTTCAAGAATTGAGATGATGACAGGGTATGAAAATTAAAAATCTAATTAGTCCGTCAGTTAGGTAATGAAAAAATATTAGACACGTATTTTTTTATTTTGTTGTATAATAAAATTACATAACATCACGCCTTTTATCCCCGAAGGGGTAGGCAGAGGTGCACATAGAGCCATTGTACAGTGTAACACCCACTTTTCACTATTTATGTTATGAGTCCCATGTAATAGGGGGTGAGTCTATTGCCATATACCGGACACAATTCCAGACTCCGTGCTACTACTGAGATTTTTTTATAAACCCAGTAATACTTTGCATGACTCGGGAATCGAAGCTGAAACTCCTTGCGGTCGTACTTGCGACCACTCGGCCAACGAGGCAGTCAATGGGAAGTCAGTGAATTGTAATGACTAATCAAAGAATTTTCTACGCAGTTGTCTAGTATAAGGGCTCGTACACAAAACTGCAATGCGATGCGATGCGAATTCACAACTTAAAAAAATACGATGCGAATTGCTGCGATGCGATTTCGTGCGACAAGGCGTCTCCCAGGGTGACGATTCCTTCGACGACCGTCAACCGTACTAAACATATTTTAAAATTGAAAACTAGGTCGTGACATGGATCGTAAAAAGAAGTGTGCACATCTGCTATTACTTAGGAGATACAGGAAAAAGAAACAAAGAAGATTTTGGGAATATAAGATTTTGATGCGCGATGCGAATCAAATGGGTAGTTTCCAGGGTATCAAAATTAAAAATCTAATTAGTCCGTCAGTTAGAAAATGAAAAAATATTAGACACGTATTTTTTATTTTCTCGTATTAAGTTGTAATACTTAGATAAAATGGCGCTAAGTTTAGGAGTGTGAGGTCGTTACGTCATAACGTGCTACAAAATGTGGCACGCTGTGACGTCACACGATATTTCAAATTAATATATCGTCGAAAGTATTTAATTTTGTGAGAAAAGAATAATTACTTGTCTAAATTTTTAAATTAATGTACCAGACGGACATTAAAATAAAATTTAGGAAACTTCCCTATTCGCAAGTTCTAGCGATGCGTAGAGGGAGCTCGCATATTTTTGCGATGCGACGTCGCATCGCAGTTTTGTGTAGGAGCCCTTAAGACGTTTACTGAATGCTTCATAGGTAATTGTTTGAAGACACTCATGATTAAAAACGATATAATACGTGTCTATTTCTTTGAAATAGTAGATACTTGTACATACTTATAATTAGAGATTATAAGTCCAGGTTTGCTCACGATGTTTTCTTTCACCGTTTGTGAGTACAGCCATATACATACAATGTAACACCTACTTTATACCAATTATTTTATGAGTCCCGTGTAATAGGGGGAAGGAACCGCGGAGAACCTAACGGGTTACCATGGCCCCGGCTCGAAGTGCAGGAGTAGGAACGGGGTTCCTGGTCTATTTGAAATAAATGATTTCAACTTTGATAGTAAATATTTTGGGATTAGGAAGTTGACAGGCCAATAGTGGACTGTTGATGATGAGGCAAGTTATATTTTCTATGTATAGCTTGGCAAAAAAGATTCAACCGGTTTTGATATTTGTTATTTATATCGAGTTTAAAAAGAGGAGGTTCGGATGTCGCTCCGGGGCTCCGGCTCGAAGCGCAGGAGTAGAAACGGGGTTGTTTTTAGTCAGTAAGAGTCTGACACTCCCTCGATTCGATGATTTTCATGGGATATGTTCCGAAGCGAAGATTTGACAAAGAGTCGCATATGAAATCACATTCAAATAATTGAAGCACCAGAATATCAGTGGGTAATTTATGTGTGCGTGTGTAATGTGTTACCACGTTACCAGACTTAATAAAATGACAGATGTCCTTCGTTTCAATGTGTGTATGTACTGCGTGTAAGTCTATAGTAGCCAGGTGCCACAGACGATGTTTCAAGATACTGTGCCTGTAACGCAATTTTTCAACGTCCTTGCTCCGAAATGGGTGATTCAGTTCAAGTCTTAAGTGTGGGAGAGCCATGCTTCGGCTCGACCGGAGTGATACCACGGCCTCACAGAAAACCGACGTGAAGCAACGTTGCGCTTGCGTTGTGTTTCGTCGTGTGAGTGAGGTTACCGGAGGCCCAATTACCCTCCCCTTCCCCAATCTCCGCAATCCCTGAATCCCCAACGATCCTCAAACTCCTAATCCCCAAAAAGCCGGTAACGCACTTCAAAGCCTCTGGTGTTCCAGGTGTCCATGGGCGACACCGATTGCTTACCATCAGGTGATCCGTCTGCTCGTTTACAGGCTTATGCCATGAAAGAAAAAAGTCAGTATTAGTACCAGCTGTCACCGCGTCGTATACTTTTTTGTCCAGCTGTACTTTAAAGTATTGTGAACCAACCCATTACTTATCTACAGGTGTCTGATAACCAATATCTATAGATAACACTATCGAAACACGTTTGCTTGCTTCGATAACATTATTTGAGTTAAGACCTCATTGCGTTTGAGGAAAATATTGTTTTAAAATTATCCTTGGAATTAGTATTGACAAAATGAGTGATGAAAGAGTACATTTCGTTGGTGGAGATGGTAGTGTCCACGTAAGTACTTATATTTTTAAGTATTTTAAGTGTCTTCTCACATTAAGATTGTCTCCGACGTTCTTTTATGGAATAGGAGGCAAACGAGCAGGCGGAACACCTGATAGTAAGCGATCAGCGCCGTCAATAGACACTCGCAACACCAGAGGAGTCACAGGTGCGTTGCCGGCCTTTTAAAAAAGAATACGCTCTTTTGTTGAAGGTTTGAAGGTCGTATCGGTTCGGAAAAACTGCCGACGCTATATTATTCCACAGTTATCCGTATGATACACGTTTGGCATGTTTGGACGCTACTGCATCAGCTCGACCGGAGTCATACCACATACAGGTCACCGACATGACAATACCACACCGCGCAGCCGGGTGAGTGAGAGTAGTGGAGGCGCATTCTCCTTCGTCTCAAAAAGCCGGCTACCTACTAGTAACTTCTCCGGTGTGGCGGGTGTATCCAATATTGGCTTGTGAATCTGATTGAAAATAAGTAACCTATAGAGTTTGTCGATAGTATAAAATATGCCGTGGTAGCCCGAAGGTTTAAGATGGGATGGTCCTGAGGGTTCGAAACTTACCAACGGCAACCACCAATGTACCATTTTCCAAGTGACTTTCTAAGATAATCTAGACACCACTGACAAACGGTAAAGGAAATCATCATGGGGAAACCTGGGCTTATAATTTCCAATTATAAGTTTGAAATCGCCAACCCGCATTGGTGATTAATGCTCTCAAACCTTCTCCGTGCGAGAATGGATTTCTTTTAGCAGTGGGTATTTATAGGCTGTTGATGTGATGTGATGGAGTTTCTTACTCGTTCTTCTCCATAGGAATCTACACCATGGAATGAGCAAATAACTTCACTTTAGAATTTTTTTGTTTACGTTCCGAAGCCGGAAGACGTAGCGTGGGCAGGCCTCCCGCTAGGTGGACTGACATCGCCAAAGTTGCGTGGAGCCAGTGGATGCAGGTGGCAAGTTGTCGTTCGACGTGGAGGACTAAGGGGGAGGCCTTTGTCCAGCAGTGGACGTCTTTCGGCTGTTAATGATGATGATGATGATGTTCCAAAGCGCCTTCCTGGGGTCTTACTCTTGAATCCAATTCCGATCGATCGACATTGGTATTGTGGAGTTACAACACTAGCGCCCATTGCATCCGTATTACGTGGATATTTAATAAACTAAATGGTATTGAGTTTGGCTTTATATTCCGTACTCTAAATGATATTTTAACAGCTACGATAGGGGTTGTATAGTTTTGACATTGAATAATTATTGAGATTTTATTGGATTGAAATTGCATTGACATTAAGATTGGTTTCAAGAGTAAGCCTTGGTCTAATTGAGATATATGATTTTGAATTTGACTTTGATTATCTCCTATAGCATTTAAAGCCCTGATACCACTGTTCCAGGTGACAGACTACGTGGACGGTGGCGGTGGTGTGCATATCGTCGATGGAGACTATGGTGGTGGCGTCCACGTGGTAGACGGACAGTATGGAGGGGGCGTTCACGTGGTAGACGGCCAATATGGAGGGAGTGTCCATGTGGTTGACGGACAGTATGGAGGGGGAGTACATGTCGTTGATGGAGACGGCAGCGGAGTACACGTCGTTGACGGGAGTTATGGAGGAGTTAACGTTGTTGAAACTGACTATGGTGGCGGTGTGCATGTCGTCGATGGTCAGTATGGTGGGGGAGTTCACGTTGTGGATGGAGACAGCAGCGTCCATATCGTGGATGGGGATTATGGAGGCGGTGTCCACGTTGTTGATGGTATGGAGTATGGAGCCCGTTGATTGCTGTGTGAGTATTTTTTGGTAGTGGTTCTCACATATAATCTTTTATACACATATTTGTCTGGACTTTAAAAGAGATGGACGTCTGAGTTTGTTTCGGCATTTCTTCTCAGAGTAGTCAGTTAGGAAATGTCGACCTCATCGTTCGCTTGATAAAATTGACGTGTAAAAGTGCTGCCTTGTAGCCTGTTTGCAGAAATAAATTCACTTGTTTCACCTGTTGTATCAATATACCTCTAAGACATAATAGAAAATACATTGGGGCTCGCATGGGCCCGCGTTTAGACACACGAAACGCCTGTGTTTTTATGGGATAAAGTGTAACCTATGTGTTAATCCAGACCATATTCTATCTTTAATCCAAATTTCATCTCGGTCCCTTCAGCTGTTCTGAGGTGAAGGAGTAAGAAACAAACAAACAAACAAACAAACAAATAGCCTTTGCATTGATAATCATATTAGTAGGATTTAATAATCAGACTGCCTCGTTAGCCGAGTGGTCACAAGTGCGACTGCCAGCCAAGAGGTGTCGGGTTCGATTCCCGGGCCGGGCACAGTATTGCTGGTTCTTTTTTTAAAATCTCAGTTGTAGCACGGAGTCTGAAATTGTGCCCGGTATATGGCAATAGGCTCACCCCCTATTTTATGGGACTCATAACATAAATATTGAGAAGTGGGTGTTACATTGTACAATGGTATCCTCTGTACCTCTGCCTACCCCTTCGGGGATAAAAGGCGTGATGTTATAATGTTTATTTAAATTTTTTATTTTTTGTTTTCAGCTACCAACGAAATCTACTTATCTACTATCAAGATCATTCTAAGGTTAGGGCCTTATTCATTATTAAGACACCACATCGCACGACTTATCGCGCAACTTGTAGCGCAACTATATTGTCAGCAGAGATACACCAAACGAAATTCACGAGTACCTGAACATCCCAACGGTACCGTCAGAAATATACCACAATATTCAATTTCACAATACCAATGTCGATCGATCGGAATTGGATTCAAGAGTAATGATTAGTTTGTTCGTTTGCCGACCTATACCATAAAAATCTAGGTTGCTGGCAACTTGTCGCGCAACCAAGTTGATACCAAATTGTTATTTAATTTTGTGATCCGACAGAGAACCAAAGTTATCGACATAGCCCAAAGGATCAGTAAGGTGAAGTGGCAGTGGGCCGGTCACATTTGTCGAAGAACCGATAACCGTTGGGTAAACGTGTTCTAGAGTGGAGACCGCGTCTAGGCAAACGCAGTGTAGGGCGCCCTCCAGCTAGGTGGAGTGACGTCATCCGCAAGGTGGCTGGCAGTGGTTGGATGACAAGAGCTGAAGACCGAGCTCAGTGGCGTGCCATTGGAGAGGCCTATGTCCAGCAGTGGACGAATACAGACTGTTGATAACATTTAATTTTGATACAACTGTATACATTCTGGTGGTACGCGACGGTCGTACGATTATGGTGTCTTAGAAACTAATAAGATCCTTAGTAACTAAAAAAATTAACTGTAATTTGTAAATAAATTCTGTTTTATATATATTTTTTATTGTTGTTTGGTTTTTTTAGCGTGGCTTTGTCATAAGTCTTTCTCCTATGTCGTGGGTGCGTTTAAGGTTATATCAAACGGTTCACTCGAATGAATAATGAATGTTTTTTTACCATTTATGCTTATCCTGCGAGTAATAAAAAGCGTGATAGTAGGTACGTACCTATATCATTAGACGCATAAATAGCCTTTTGGTTATCAAAAATACTTTAAAATATTGTCTCGATACATACCTAAGAAGTTCTTATACGTTTGCTAAAATACTTCGATATAACAAAGCCACAGTACTCAATCATATATTAAACTAATTTAAAACGTAATTGAGAACCTTAACTGTAAAAACAAAAACGAGGTACATTGAATTTCTTCTTGAAAAAACAATATATTTCGAGCGCCTACACAAAATATGATAGCAACAAAAAGTCGCAACAATAAAAATAGACGCATGTAAATTTTCAGGCGTTTATATTATAAGTGTGGGAGAGCTATGCTTTGGCACTGCTGTGTCCGCTCGACCGGAGTAATATCACAGCCTAACAGTACACCGGCGTGAAATAACGCTTGTGTTTTGTTTCGTCGTGTGAGTGAGGGTGTCTGAATACAAAAATAACAACTTTAACCTATGTATCTCAATTATAAGTAAACACAATGATATTATAAATGATAAAAAGAGGTAGATATCGCACTGGCACGCAAAAATTGTTGCGAACGAATTCAGACAATTGTCGTAATTTGTAAATAGCTATCTCTTTCTGTACCATACTTTCCGTATTATCTGTCGCACGTAGTTGAAAATGACATTTAAGTACATTTATAATAAGAACGCAACAATTTTTGGACGCCGCTTAGTATGAACGTAGCGTATCTTCTTTATAATATCATTGAGTAAACAGATATAGTTGATAGTTTAGAAAGTAGTAACCCAATTACCGTCCCAGAATTCTCTAACAACCCTCAAATTCCTAATCCCAAAAAAGCCGGTAACGCACTTGTAACGCCTCTGGAGTTCCAGTGTATATAGACGACGCCGATTGCTTACCATCAGGTGATCCGTCTGCTAGTTGACCGGCTTATAACATAAAAAAAAAGATGAGTGATTCTTATATTATGAAAAAATCTCTGAATTAGATATGAACAAAATATCTCCATTTACGTATTATTTATCTATACTGGCGCCACCTACGCTATCAGTATGACAGTTATGAACTAACTATAAACTGTAAGAATCGAATACTATCAACAAAGAGTGTCATGTCTGTGACAATATATTTCAATTATAAATAAGAATATATTTGGGCCTGTGTGTTTATCCGTCTTTCACGGCAAATCGGAGCTATGAATTGACATGATTTTTTAAGTGAAGATACCCACCTAGTTGAAGTGATGGAGAGGTACATAGGCTATAAACCATCACCGCTACGATTAATAGAAGCCGAGCAGCGGTTGAAACCGTGTGGGAATAGCTAGTTCTCTTAATATTGAAACACATGGCGAAGAAATCGACGGGTAATTCGATTTATAACGTTTCTCTAATGCATGTAAACAATTTAAATAGGTAAATGCTTACATTTTTTGGATGAATCCACAGTCAGGCTATTCTGTTATCACTTTAGGTAGTTTTGATCATAACATTTACCTATCAGATAATATTAAGAAAGTCTTGTATAATTCGAAAAAAAATTACCTCAGTAGCAACATTAAACTGTAACAAAATAAAAGAAACACACTTACCAGTAACCAAAAAACTCGGAAAGATCCATGCAGTCGATTTCTTTCCTATTTTCAGCAACTTCAGCAATTCCTGAATCGACGTCTTCTTCAGAACTTGATGCGCTATCGCTCTCTGTATCCGAACGCGCGTTGTTCATCGCATTGACAGTGACAGTGACAATTGGCAGATGACGGTTAAACCAATATGGCGGATTGACGTTTAGTGATGTACAATTTTCAAGTTTACGGTTTTTATTTCAGTTGTTTACGGTTTTCTTTTTGTAATTTAAGATTGTTAGTTACGGTTTTTCGTGGTATATTTATTTGTTTGTTGTTTATTCCGGTATATTGGTATGTTTTTAATATTTAACATGTAGGTTTTTAAACTTCTGGCGTTAAAAATAGTTATGAGCCCTTTTGTTTAATTTACATATCAAGAACCTCTGGAGAACCTAACGGGTAATCGGGGCTCCGGCTCGACGTGCAGGAGAAGGAACGGGGTGGTTTTTAGTCAGCAAGAGTCTGACACTCCCTCCCGCCTCACCCAGGCGGGAGCAGTCATTCGATGATTTTCGCCCCTTAAAAACATACCCTGTATAATATTATTTGATATGAATTTAATTGCGAAACATATTGACTTGACAGCCAACTATTGATAATTAGGAAATTAGCCAAGAGAATATGTGTCATCCACAGGTGTTGTCCCTACAATATGGGTGAGTTGGGCGGTGCTAGTGTACACAAAGCACCGCTAATTAGTTAGCGGCGCTACACATCGACACAACTATCATTTACACAATATACATGTGTGGGTAATTTCATATCAATAGATATGTATAGAAACAATCGTCTATCACACACATCTTGGTATTTAAAAATCATTTTTGTGTCGGTATACGCAATAATTTAGTAAATAAGTTTAAATAAAAACGAGGGTAAAGATAAAATTACTCATAACAAACTTTGAATAAATCGAAATCAAAAATAATGAACGATCGAGCTATACAATACCCATATAAATATAGTGCTTTCTCATTGTAATTTTATGTTACTGAATGATATAAAATATTTCGATGACCTCATCTACAGCGCGCTTGGCGCAATGGTTATCGCCTCCAATTGTCAAGTAAAGTGCCGCCGGATCGATTCCAACATTCACATGTTGTTTTAGAATTAATTTATCAAATATTTGAAATTTGAAATTAGAAACAATTAAATCTTTTCTTTTTTTTCCTTTCCTATTGTTCTAAATCTTATGTTAATTTTAATAGTAAATACTTTAGATTTATTTATACCTATAATATCTTTTATTTATATTTTAGTTCTAGTTATTTATTATTTAGAATAATCTCATTTGCTTCATGCATTTCAACCAACTTAAATAAGATAAAAACAGTAAAAAAGTAATTAACTGTGATTTCTTAATGGTTCGATACCTGAGTATATTTGCAATGTTTGTGGCGACCATAGAAATCTCGAGTCATTTTATTTTACACGCTTATGAAGTAACTACCGACTATTTAAAACATGTTTTTCAAATCACCCGACTTACAAAATAATTGCGTTCTTAGTTGTCAATTTATGAGGATTTCATAGTTTATTGCTACACTACTTATATTCGTGTGCAAAGTTATTTTTATTTTTACAAGATGTTCCAACACCTATCAACATTTAAAAAGGCTGAAACCATTGTTTTGCATGAGCAAAACATAACTAACAATAACTGAAATAGCAAGGCGTTTAATGATATCGGTGAGTAAATAAGATACTACGTTGATATTCTAAATAATATTTATTTCATTTTGTAACTCGACACACCTATCAATTTTTGCACTAGAATAAAATAATTATTGCAACTTATTATGAAGTTCAATATTATAAAGATATATTAATAATTTATTATTAATTGTATTGTAACTTGACTTGTTTTTGTTAGGAGTGTTTCTTTAAAACATATCTGGTTAGGGATTTTTATTCCTTACGCCACTACTTAATTATAAATTATTATTCTAACATTGTGTTTACTTATATTTATTATTATTTTTAAGTAACTTTAATTCCTGTAAAGTATTTCCTGGTATTTTAAATACTTATTTGTTTGGTATCAACAGAGGAGATCCATGCAGTTATGGGTGCACAGATATGCGGAGACCGGTGACGTTAAACATCGTCGACGTGGGCCTAAACCAAAGGCAAATTCATCGGCTCGGCACTACGACATCGTAGCCAGGCACATGGCTGATCCGTTCCTGCCAACCCGCACTACAGCGACAGCACTGAATGTTTTAATACAAACTGTACGGAGACACCTGCATTCTGGTTTAAGGTGCAGGAAGCCAGAGAAGAAAATATTGTTATCTGTGGTTCACCAGCAAAAGCGCTAAGAATTTGCTAAGGACTTTATTAATTTTGATTGGGCGAACAGTGTAATCATATTGAGCGACGAAAAGACTTTCAAGTCGGATAAGGATGGGCGTAAAATATTGTGAAGAAAAGATGGAGAAAGGTATACGAATTGCAACCTTCTGCCTTGTAGGATCAGTGATTGTATTGATTTCGGAATCAATTATTGAGCCTGTCAAACTCTGCCTTTATTAAAATTAACATAAAATAATGTTTAATTTTTTTAAGAATATTAAAATGCTGTCTAGAACATACGGTGAAGTGATGTTATTGTTTTGTGGTTAGAAATTGTCATAATTTCTTTCTATTCAACATGTTTATTCACTTCACTTTAATTTTTCATTAACAAATTTATTTAACTGCTTTCGAACTTGATTGACATATTATATTTACGCCCATCTTCAATTAATTTAAAGTTTCCCTGATTCTAAAGGTCATGAAAGTTAAAATCGTTCCATAGCATTCGTCACATTCTTTTTACTATCATACAGCCCACTGAATATTGAACCTTATAACAACCGTCGTAAAATAGATAATTAATGGAAGTTCAAACGACAAAAAGTCGCCCATTTCAAGAAATATTATGTTGACAGTGTAATTTTTTACATGTTTTACTTGTTTATTACTGTAAAACTGTAATTTAATAATACATTATATTATTAAATTACAAAACAAGAATGTTGTATATTTGTTTATTACTTTAATAAAAAATGTTGCTGCCATCGTATTACCGCTGTACCGCATGATATTTCCCGATTCGACTATGAGGTTTATTGTCATATCTATTAATTATGATTTAAAGAACTTTAAACTTAACATGTGGTATATAATTAATTATTAGATATAAATATTGAATATAAAACAACATATTTGTATAATAAATAAATTAATTGTAATAAAAAATAGTATTGTTTTATTTACCAACTCATTTGCTTCTTTTATAGCCTGATATTTATATTTTATGACAAAAAACAAAAAAAA